AAATAATCCCGGGATTTCTGTGGCTGTGGTGGCCCAGGTGCAGCTCCTGCCTGCTCCTGGCACATCTTGCAGGAAAAGATCAGTGGCTCCCTCTGCCCTTTACCCTCAGCACCATCAAGGAATGGTTTTTATTCAGTTTTGCTCTGACCCCTGCATTTTCTCAGCTTTCCCCGTCTATCTGAGGTGTTTCTGTGCCTCCTGCCCTTCCCATGGTGTTGCTGAATTTGCAGGGATTTAGGGAATTGTGGCTGCTCTAGGATCAGCTTTTCATCCTTTTCTTGCTGATTTTTTTCCAGCTCCCCTAGAACCACACCAGCAGTGGGACTTGGATGATCCTTAGGGATCTTTTCCAGCTCAGGAAAAGATTCTGTTTAATTCTGTGATTACAAAACCTGGAGTTGGGGTGAAGACGGTGGTGACTCAGTTGTTTTGTTTCGTGTCCTGCCCTGACTTGTGCTGTCTTTAAACTCGTGCTCCGTGTCATTTTTTTTTTTTTTGTTACACAACGTCTGTTCTGAACGGCAGCACTGAGAAAAAGAAATCGGCAAAACCCCAGGCTCAGCTTTCTTGTTAGGATGGTAGGAAAGAGAAGAATTCTGCATTCCTGGCATTTTTGTCCTGGCCAGAATGGAAGAGATCGAGTGCTCTTGTTGCCACACAATCTCTGTTTTGTTTGTAGTACAAGTTGAGCTGGTTTCATATTTTATTGGTTATTTATTATTTTTTTTCTAATTTCAGTTTGCTGTTTGACCACACTCACGTTTCAGGTGGCTCAAACTGATCCATTTGTACAAGTGGATTTTTTTTTTAACTCTGCAGGATTCTTTAACAAACCTAAATGCTTCAAGGACTCACAAAACTTCAAAAATGGGACTCTGTTCACTTCCACTTTCTTCAGCTTTACTCAGTGTATTTTTTCCTTCATATTTTAATATTAATTATTTATATTTTATTATTATAACTTATTAAAATTTAGCAAGTGCAACAGAATAGGAACTTGAATTATTGGGGCTAAATCTTGAGAATCCCTTACCAGGAAAAGTTTGTCATTAGAAGCTTTAAAAAAAATCAGTATTCTGTTGTAAATTAGACCATGCAAAATCCAGATTATCACATGTGGATGGTCTGGAGAGCTGCTGAGTTTGGAAGTTTTTGTTGGGGCAGATCCAGAGCTGCCCTTTCCCTGGAGCACCTGTGGGGAAAAATGAATATTCCTTTTCCTGCCTAATGCAGCCCCCAAGAGCTTACATTTCCCTCATGTCTTATTTCCTTTTTTATTTATTTATAATTTCTATTTCTGTTCCTTTTTCTACTAGTACTTCTTTTTCTATTCCTTCTTTTTCTTCTATTTCTTCTTTTTCTTCTCTTCCTTCTTTTTCTTCTATTTCTTCTTTTTCTTCTCTTCCTTCTTTTTCTTCTATTTCTTCTGTTTCTTCTTCTATTTCTTCTGTTTCTTCTGCTTCTGTTTCTTCTGCATCTGTTTCTTTTTTATTTCTTCTATTTCTTCTCCCTCTTCTCCTCAATATCATTATCGTTATTGTTATTTTATGTTCCTTTTATTTCTCAGTCCATAATAATTCTTGTCTTCAACATTTAGGCTAAAATTCTACAACTATTGATATTTGAAAAAAAGCTAATTAGACTTTTTTTTTTCCTTGCTGTTCCTTGGGTGTTTCTTTTCTTCTTGAACTGTGGGGACAAAATTTTCCAGACTGCTTAAAATTCCTAAATTCTGAGCCTGCATTTTTATGACATTTCTTTCTCATTTTTTGAGATTATTTTTGCTCTGCTCCCCTATCCTGCCTTGATTATTTTTAATATACCACAGCCTCACTGTTATTGGTTTTCTTTCTATTATGAAAGAGATTTTATATATTTTCTATCATAAACACAAATTTATATTTTAATATAGTTAATACATTATACATAAATTAAGAGCTGTTCACTTTCATCTTGGAATATAATCTCTGAATTATAATGTAATATATATAATATTATATGTAATATATATTTTATTATAGATAATATATACATATTATATATATGTTATATACAATATAACATATATAATATATATAATATATAACATATTATATGTATTACATATATTATATATAATATATATTATATATTTTATATTTTTAATTTATATATAAAATAATCTCTGTTAATCCTTCTCAAATCTTTCCAATTTTTGTTGGTTTTTTCTTTTTGACAAGACAAATGAAATTATTTCCTTTTCAGATTATTAGCCTCAATGAAACAAAACAAAAAGCAAAAAGTGCATTTTAAAAAGCCTTTTCAATGGGCTGGATTTACATTGCAAAAAGTTATTTTAAGAATATTTTAATCCAATTTTTTTTGATATAATAGTACCACGAGTAAGGATCATTACAGGCAGGGCTGCCTTGTGACTGCAGGTTCATCCTGGCTGTGATCTCTAATTAAATCCAAGCTGGAATTGCCTAATTAATCTCTACAAAATCCAGGGAGACAAAGGAAGGTGTGTGGGATTAAATCTCTGCCTTCCATCCACCTCTTTGTGCTTCATCTCCTGGCAAACAGCACGTGCAGCAGCCCTTTTTAAATATTTTTAAAATATTTACTTTTCCCTGTGAAAAGTTCTTCCATGTTCTGTGTAAAATCTGAATTGTTTCTGTGCAGACAACGGTTGATTTCAGTTCATGGGCAAAGCGATCAAGAAAATGTTGAAATTCTTACAGAATGAACAAGCCCTGGTTTAGCACAAAAACTTTCTGTGCTGAAAGTGCCTGAGATTTTATTTTATTTTTTTTTATTCTAAATCAGTGCTCATTTTCTGTTTCTTGCATAGAAAGTGACACAGGTGGAGAAACAATGTTGTATTTTAGTATATTTCTGTTTTTTCTCACCCACATCTTACTTGGCCAGCCTGTCCCAAGGGAATTCAGGAATTCTTTAT